TAGTGTAGCAGCATGACCCCGCAACCTGAAGCTCAGCATACTTTCCCAGGTGGGTCATGCTAGGTCCGCCGCCGCTGGCTGCGCTCATTGGCCAGCGGGCTCCCCTCGTTCCCCGCGTGCTTACACAGCGCTAGTGTACTTAAGCCGCGGAGCTGTCAGCGAGATCAGCAACCCCCGATCCTCCAGACTCACCGACTACAGCAACGGCACTCAAGGACTGCCAAGTCCTTAACCGACTGGGGAGCCAGCCGGCTCCCCGTAGAACTCCAACTCCAGTCTCCAATACCCAGCCATACCCGTGGGCACTCACACCCACACAGTCACTCCATAAAGAGATAAGACACCAGACCAAACATAGTAGATGGCAACCTAACCAGCTACTATACTGGTGACCTCCGGAGTGACCCGAAATATGGAGTGACACGTTCGGTTTATCGCTCGTTCGCTTAGCTCACTCTCTGGAGGGGGAGTGCCTGTAGCAGCATGACCCCGCAACCTGAAGCTCAGCATACTTTCCCAGGTTGGGTCATGCTAGGTCCGCCGCCGCTGGCTGCGCTCATTGGCCAGCGGGCTCCCCTCGTTCCCCGCGTGCTTACACAGCGCTAGTGTACTTAAGCCGCGGAGCTGTCAGCGAGATCAGCAACCCCCGATCCTCCAGACTCACCGACTACAGCAACGGCACTCAGGACTGCCAAGTCCTTAACCGACTGGGGAGCCAGCCGGCTCCCGTAGAACTCCAACTCCAGTCTCCAATACCCAGCCATACCCGTGGGCACTCACACCCACACAGTCACTCCATAAAGAGATAAGACACCAGACCAAACATAGTAGATGGCAACCTAACCAGCTACTATACTGGTGACCTCCGGAGTGACCCGAAATATGGAGTGACACGTTCGGTTTATCGCTCGTTCGCTTAGCTCACTCTCTGGAGGGGGAGTGCCTGTAGCAGCATGACCCCGCAACCTGAAGCTCAGCATACTTTCCCAGGTTGGGTCATGCTAGGTCCGCCGCCGCTGGCTGCGCTCATTGGCCAGCGGGCTCCCCTCGTTCCCCGCGTGCTTACACAGCGCTAGTGTACTTAAGCCGCGGAGCTGTCAGCGAGATCAGCGTGGTGTGGCCGGGCATCAATAGAGATGTCCGAGAGTGGAGCCGCACCTGCATCGAGTGCCAGCGCAGTAAGATTCACCGACACACTAAGGCCCCCCCACAGGTGTTCCTGGTACCAGACGGCCGCTTCGAACATGTACACCTGGACGTGGTCGGCCCTCTCCCAGCCGATCAGGGTTACACCTACGTCCTGACGATGATCGACCGATTCACCAGGTGGCCCGAGGCCACCCCTATCCAGGACATCACCGCCGCGACCATTGCCAAGACCTTCATCAGCACCTGGATATCGCGCTACGGAGCTCCTGCGACGGTCACGACCGATCGCGGGTCTCAGTTCGAGTCCGAGCTCTGGAGGCAACTGATGATTCTTCTCGGCTCGAAGCGCATCCGGACCACGGCATACCACCCCAGCGCCAACGGCATGGTAGAGCGCCTACACCGCCACCTGAAGGAGACTCTCACAGCTTCATCCTCCACGCGCCAATGGGTGGACCAGTTGCCTTTGGCACTCCTGAACATAAGGACCTCCTTCAAACAGGACCTTCAGTGCACCGCAGCTGAGATGGTTTACGGAACCACCATAGCCCTCCCTGCCGACTTCATAGTTAGCTCCGGAAATCAGGACCCGGGAGCTTTCGGAAAGCAGCTTCGCGACCGCATGGCCCGTATTCGCGCTCGTCCTACCCGACCTTCACGGCAGCGGGACGTCTACTTACCACGCGACCTCCACGACTGCTCACACGTCTTCGTCAGACGACCCGCCAAGCCCCCCCTGTGCCCGCCCTACGAGGGTCCTTTCCCTGTCATCAAGCGGGACAGCAAGACAATCACCATTCGGCGTCCACGAGGGGAGGACACCGTCTGCATCGACCGCGTGAAACCTGCACACCTGCAGGAGCAGTGCACAATTTCGAAGGTTCGTTTCGCGACCGCTACACTGGAAGGGGAGTGCTGTGGTGACCAGCCCGCGGCAAGCTTCGGCGCTCCGTAGGACCTGACACACACCGTTTGGCGAGTTAGGGTCCAGTCACCACCACCAATCACCGCTTACCTCTCCGGACCTGACCAGGGAGTAAACATCGTGCCTGGCCCATTTAAGCCGCGGAGTCGTAAGCGACAGACACACTCATCGGCTTGACTCTGACCGTGACACACCTCTGTAACTCCAGCAATAAAGAGTTGAATTGACTACCGTGTGTTTACCTAAACCACAATAGTATCAGACTGACCTTTGTACTCTTTACCTGGTTTCTGCACTTTATATCTAATACTCACATCCCGAACTTTAGTGTCTCTTCCCTTTTCTACTTTTACAACTTGTCCCATTTTCCATTTTCCTTTAACTGTATTAGAATCTTGTATCAACACAATATCACCAGACTGCAGATTTCTTTTATCAGTATGCCATTTTTGTCTAACAATTAATGTAGGGAAATAATCTCTTTGCCATTTACGCCAAAATGTATAACAACATTTTGTATATAATCTAACCTTCTCTTTGTATTGAAAGAATCTTTCCATGGTCCACATGGTGCATGATTACTTGCCCTGCCTAAAAGCAAATCATTTGGGCACAAGTAAGTTCCTAATTCTAAATCCATACCAGGTTTTAATCCAATAGGCCTTTCATTCATGAGGTTTGCTATTTCAAAAAATATAGTTTGTAGACCACTATATGTCATCAGAGTAGATCCAATTATCATGGCTAAGGATCTTTTCACAGATTTGATCAAGGACTCACTAACACCATTTTGCCATGCTGCATCAGCTGAACGGTTTGAAAATCCATTTTAATCCCCCTTTTGTTCCAAATTCAGAAATATCAGACATATTCCAGTTATTTATAGCTATTTGAAGTTCCTTACTAGCTGATACCAGTTGAGAGCCTAAGTCTGAATGAACAGTAGCTGGATATCCATGGACAGCTGTGAAACGTCTAAAAGTCTTCAAGAAACTATGGGTATCATATCCATCAACAATATCAATATATACAGCACGAGTAACCATGCAATTAAATATAACACCATAAGCTTTACCAGTAGTTCTTTTCTTCACATTGTCTCTTATTTGAAATGGCCCAAAGATATCTGTAGCAGTGTGATAGAAAGCTGGACATGGAGTTATTCTTTCAGTAGCGACTTGACCCATGCACTGACCTTCAACTTTGTAATCTAATCTCCTACAAGTAACACATTTACGTTTCACTGCTCTGATGACTTTACGTGCTGAAGGAACCCAGAACTTTGTCTGCAGTTTACTAAGTGTAACATCCACTCCAGCATGATCTATATTATGCAAATGACTAATATAAAGTATAGTAAACAAATGTTTCCGGGGTAACAGGATAAAGTTATCTTGATTCCAATTTTGTTTTAACCAATGCTCCAGTCTTGACCTACCATAATTATACCATTTTCAGTCTTGTATGGTCCCAATCTTTGATATTTCTGTTTCCAATTACCAGAAAAACATTTTTGTGCTTGCCTGATCCAAAATTGTAATGCTTCATTTAGAATATCAGGTTCAAGTCTTAATAAGATACCCTTTAAAGATCTGATCTTCATTACATTTAATATCCTACCAGTAACTGCAATAAGTTTATTGTAATTTTTGAACTTAGATAAATCAATAACACATTCATCTGAGTCCTTCAGACAGTGTGTTAAATTCACATGGACTCTATCAGGCAAGTCACATTCAATAGATTGACTTATTGGCCACTCTTCTTTGGGTAGAGTCATGAATTTTCGGCCATACTTCCACAATGAACTGATGATAATATCTGATGGATCATTAGGTCTAGTAAGTAAATCTGCCAGGATTGTGACAAGAAGCAATCCACCACCATTCATTGGGATTACTCTTCGATTGTACTTCTGCTACCCGTGTTGCTACAAAAGTCCCAAATCCATACGACTCCTTTTGGATCTGTGCTCTCACAATAGCCGAGTCTGTTATATGCATTACTGAACCTAAATCTATATGATAATTCATTTTCGATTAATTTGCGTAGTCTGCATGAAATAATTGCTCCACACAATTCAAGTCTGGGTATGGAAAGTTGTCTGGTAGGAGCTATTCTTCCTTTTGCCATTATTAGCTTACTTTCAAACATTCCAGATTTCATTTTCCACCTAGCATAAGCCACAGCACCATATGCATTTGATGAACTATCACTAAAAATAACAAGCATAGGCAGACCTATCGCTGTGGGTGGTTTGATACATCTTTCAAATGACAAGGAATCAATCCCAAATAATTTGTGAAAGTGTACTACCATTGCTCTTTCATATGGGCAGGCAAAGGGTCATCCCATCCTAACTTGGTACTGCAACTGACAGTTTCCCGTAATAATATTTTGGCTTTCAATGTGTATGGAAGAAGTAAACCTAGTGGGTCATACACAGAACACATCTGACTTATAACAATTCTCTTAGTTAAAACTGGAGGAATGTTACAAATAAAATTTGAAAATTTTAAATCTGGACCTGTTCGTATACCCTTATATTTAGGAGAAAAATTCAACCTTGCTTTGAATTTAAATTCATCATTCCAACGATCCCAATATAAACCAAGAATTTTATCGCCTTCATTCTCTGAAAAATCTAGATCATCCTTATCAACATCACCAGTCATAATCCACTGCTTTACCTTTAAAATTGCCATATGAGAGTATTTTCTCAGTTTCCTGAATCAACTGCAAAGCTTTCTCTTTACTCTCAACTGATTGTATAATATCATCAACATAAGAATTTGATATTATCATAGAAGCAGCATCGGGATACTTTTCCATCCATAGCTCAGCTGTGTGTTTAAGAGCCAACATAGCAATTATTCCAGAAGGTTTGTCACCAAAGCCCATTGAAGTTAACACATAATGCTCAGGCTCACAATTCAACTGGAAATCTCTCCAAACCAAATCTGCGTACATGTTGCTCCATTTCAGGAAGCTTAATACTGTTGTACATCTTACTTATATCACCTGCTATACCTATGGCTCCTTCACGGAATCTCAGTAATATGCCCACCATGGAATTCAAAACATCAGGACCCTTGGCCCAAAAGCTATTTAGAGATTGTCCCATGAATTTGGCAGAGGAATTAAAGACAATCCTAATTGGTGTGGATGTAGATCCTGGCTTTAGCACTTCATGATGTTGAAGATATGTAATAGGACCAGCATAACCTTTTATTTCATCTGGTGTTAATTTACGTGCAACATCACGTTTGATCATATCCCTTATTTGGTTGTTATAAGCTTTAGCATATTCTGGTCCAAGTTTCAGCAATCTCTTCTCAGTACTCCTTAATTTGGCAACAGCAACAGAGATATTATTCTGTAATAAATTAGGGTCTTTAACCCATGGGAATTTAGCGGACCATTGTTTTTTTTCTGAATCATATTGTAATCCTTTTTCAATTAAGGCTAACTCTCTCTCTCCTCTAATACTATAGTCATTGTTACCCACTGCACATTTGCCACATTTGCAATCACCACATCTAGGATTACATTCTGTTCCTAAATATTCCACTGTGAAAAATTTATCAATCTGATCCTTAATA